GCCCTTCCACCATCAGGATAGATGATAGATCCTTGCAGTCCTGAGTGCATGCCTGATGGCGGACCCCTGGAATAGGGTGTCGGTAGAGGTAGATGGGATTCACCTGGGCTGAGACGGTGTTTTTAAGGGCAGCATCAGGGGGATGCCAGGAGAAGCCAAAAGAGAAGCTGAGAGAGAAGCAGAGAAGCAGCAGAATGAACGGAAGAGCAGAGAAGCAGAGAGAATGCAGGAGAGCCCAGATAGAGTGAAGACTTGGCCTGCCAGCCTCCCAGCCCCCCAGCACCCCTGCCTGCCGTATGCCTGGTGAACTCCAATAAAAAACCTGCAAAACCCACTGAGGACTCTGACTCTTCCTTTACCCGGTCTGCTGGATCATAGAAAACCTGCACTGGTCCATTCCTGGACTCTACAAAGGGTTTCCCGAAGTCCTGTTTGAACAGATGGACTGACTAAACACGGGCTGTCCCAAAATCCTATCCAAACAATTGGGCCCGCCACATTGAGCATAAGACACCATACTAGACTAAAATGTTGAGATTATCTCACAATATCCTAAAGGCACAAGGCCAAGAGCCTCATTCACAGCCGGAATGCCCAGTATAGCAATGAACAAGCTAGAATGCTGCCCTCCACTACACTGTCAATGGGAGTGTTAGGGAGAAAAGTATGTCCTAAAGCTAATTCCATACAGGCTTTGTGGACTCCACCCCCACTCCAGACCAAAGCCAAAAGACATTGGGAGAGACAAATCCCATCACCACCAAAGGGAAGGTGGCTGGGACCTGAGGGTGGGGTTAAGCAGCCAGGCTGGTATAAAGCCAGACACGTGGGCTTTGGAGGGGTCCCCCATTTTGTCTCTCCGCCAGCTCGCAGAGTCCAGCCAGCTCTGAGAGTGCTTTTTGGGTTTCCAGGTCGGCGGATCAGGTAGGACGCATTAAAGACTTTATTTCCCTATTTTCTCCCTGAGTTGTACATTTCCTCATTTCCCTTTCCCTTCTAAATAAACCTTTTATTAACCTTTTGTGTGTGCCTGTAGTGGAGTATAAATAAGTCCCTTTTAAGTGCGTGGGTGAGGGCCCACAGCCAGGCAACCCGTTTTTACATCGGGGCTGCTCCATAACAGGAACACCCTTTAGATATCTCCTCCTATCTCCCTTTGAGGAGCCAGGTTAAACTGTCCTTTTCAACACAGGTTCCCTCATGCATGAGTCTCTGTAATAAAGTTTCTCATCTGGTTCAACTATACCTAGTGTTCTCTGGTGAATTCTTTCCCTAGAGAGCAAAGGGGCATGTTTTTTTGGCTAGGGGACTTTAACACTTGTATTGGGGGCTCTAGGACTTCCCAGACTTACCTTTTATTGGTAATGAATAACTATAAGAAAGTGAAAATCAAAATCAACAAAAAACTATGAACCAGAGACACTTTTTGGGGGGTGGGGGCCGGGAGGGGAGGGATTGGGGTCAGAATGGGGCATGTGCAGTTGTATGGGGGAATATAAAAATAAAATTTATTATTTAAAAAAAAAATAAAGAATACAAGCAGGAATTTAAAGCTTAAGAAAGAGACAAAGAAAGGAGAAAGGAAAAAGGAAGATTCACAAGGCAGTCCCAACTGATCAGTTACCTATAACTAGGATCTATCAAAGTTGCCCTAGTGGGGAAGCAGGGAGCCTCTTAATTAGTCTGTGGCTGATAACATGTTTGTTTGAGCTAGCCCTCTTTGAAATGGATGCCCCTGCACCATACCTTAATGTGGATTTGTATTAGGAAAAGAAGTTAACTCTTGGCCATTATAGAATGGAAACAGTGTAATACCACAGAAAAAAAAACGAATGAAGAATTTCAGTCACACACACCACTCAATATCAAATAAAAGAGAAAGACCAGAAAAAAAGAAAACTTATTATATGATTTCATTTTATAAAGACCAAAAATGTAAGGAAGACTAAAAACATATTATCTGGAGACATATACAAACACATGGTAAAACTAAAAAAAAGCAAGAAAATGATGAAAGGAACTTCAGGACCATGGTTACCTCTGAAGAGAAAAGATGCAATTGGAGCATGTACGCAAACAGACACATAGGGCTTCTAAGGTTTTCATAAGGTTCTATTTCCTAAACTGAGTGAGGAATTCAGTTGTTTCATTCTTCTTTTAACTGTTCCTATTCATTTGATAGTTTTTAATACATATTTTGTGTCTGAGCACACACCACATGAACAATGCTACTGAGTTGACCTACTCAGTGCTTATCAGGAATATGACTGTCTGCAGGGACAATGAAGAGGCAAATAGAAGTCTGTGGTCTTCCAGAGCACATGTATGTAACCGTTAAAGGAAGAAAATTCAAATATAATTATCTCATGAAGAATTTCTTTATAACATCCTTATGAAAGTGTTAGCCTGAGTTCCCTCAAAACCTAGCAAGCCTGCAACCTTGCTTATTCTCTCAACACCTCCAACCACCCACCTCCTCTCTGTTCTACTACTCGACATTACATTTAACTTCTTTTATGGCTAAAGAGAAAATCTCATCATCCAACCATTCCACAAGCTCCAGGTGTTACAAAAATGAGTTTTCACAAGCATATCTTGGTATTCTATGAGTGTGGACCAAAAAAAAAAAAAAAAAAAAAAGTTCTAAGTTTTCTTTTGTTGGAAAATGTCTACCCCAATCAATCATTCCCCAACACCAGCCCACTCTCAAAGCCTATGGAGATTCTGCTTGCATCAAAATCTCAAGGCCCTTGAGTAAGGTCCTGCTTGTTCAAGTCCTTTAGCCCTTCCCACTTGACCCCTCCATCCTTCCTGTCTATCTCACAGAACCAACAAAAGAGTAAACAGTGTCCCTACCGACTAAATAATTCTCACGGGGAATAATGTCCAGAGTTTGTTGGGCTGTCATATTAAGTACCCCCACCACTTCTCCATTTGTTTGGCAAACATCTAAAGTGTCTGCTAAGTGCTGGTGTGTTTGTATAAAATTGCCACTCTAACACAGCTACCAAGGAGAGAAGGGGGAAGAGACAGGACTTGCAAAATGGGACCTGGACCTAGTCAGAGAAGTCACAGAATACTTCTTGAAGGAAGGAATGACTACATAGAGGTATATGTGGGGAAAATAAGAATTCCCTGAGTAGGCAGGCTACAGAATCCAGGGCAGAGGGAACAGTAAATTAAGGGGAACACAAAGTCAGTCACTATACAGCAGGAAACCCAAAAAAGAAAGCATACAAGAAAGTGGAGCAGCCATTCAGGGCCTAGAATGCCTTGTTAAAACTTGACATTATGCTAGAGCATAGGGGAAACAGAAAAAAATTCCAGACAGGGTATAACACAACCAGGTTTGCTTTTTAACAAGCTTATTCTGATTATTGTATAGACAAATGAGTGAGGGCATCAAAGCAGGCAAACATGCAAGATATTCTGTGGAGAGGCCCAAAGAGGATTCAAAAAGTAAATCAACAAATCTAAATTGTTGGGGAAATGGAGTAGGGCCAGGGTACATCAGGGAGGCTGCTGAGGTTCAGGCCTGAGCGGCTGGTAGGGCAATACCATTCATAAAGGCTGGGGGCACTAGCAGGTGCCCAGATGTCAGTGCACAAATGCTCCATTTTACACATATTGATACAGAAATGCTTTCAAGATTAACCAGAAAGGCATCAGGTAGGCCACTCTGCAGGTGTGGGACAGAAAAGTAGTCTGGGCTGGAGTAACAAACTACTGAGTTTTCTGAGAAGTTTTAAATGCTCAGTGTGATAAGAATCCTCAAAGTCACAAAAGATCACCAAGAAAGAAGTCCAGAAGATGGTCAAGAAAAGCATCTTCATTGATGTCACAATCTAAGGGCAGAAGGAGGTCAGCCTGAGAGGTAAGAAGAGAATCAGGACGGGATGGGCAACCAGAGGTAGACAGATCAAAGCAGAGAGAGATCATCTCCACTAAAGCTGTCCTTTGGCCCTGCCAACCGAGATGAAAAGGCTCTGTGATCTGAAACCTGATGCTCCCAGAACCAGTCTGAAGGGTACTGAGAGGAAGAGAAAAATGTAAAGTTTTCCAGTGAGACAACAACTAAATGAAATTAAATTCCTGACTTGAATCCTCTACCACTGTAAAAAGGAAATAACTCTTGAGGAGGAGGCAAATCTGAATAAGGACTGTGGGTGATAGTGTCCTGGTTTTGCTAGCTGTTCTGTTAAATAAGACGTTAACATTCGGAGAATATGGATGACTAATATATGAAAATTCTTTGCACGCTTTTGTTTTCTATTTTTAAATTGTGGTACTATTTCAAAATGAAAAATACGACATTTTATAAACATAAGCATCTAAAAGTGAGACAGGAGCAAAATATCTCAGAAAAGGCCTTGAAATATGAGTACCCTCCTTTCTTCTTCCTATCTCCATATCAAAAGAAAAAAAGCAAAAGGCAAAAACAAGAACTCGGCAACCTCAGTGATCACAAAAGCAGGCAGACTGGCAGAAAAGTCCCGCAACCAAGCCCCCTAGGAGCAGAGTCACCCACCACCCGAGGGGCGTGGCAAGGAGTCCAGCTCCACGCCGTTGCCCCGCCCCGCCCCCCCCGCCCCGCCCCCGCAGCCCAGGGTCTACCGACACCGCTCGCCTGGCCACGTCGACAGCACAGGCAGGCCCCGCCCCACTCATGATCCTCCCGCCTCAGCCCCGCCCTGGCCCGCCCACAGGCGCGCCCCCCCGCCCCCCCCCAGCCTTCACACTAACCGGGAGCACGCCCCGCCCCCGCCCACAGCCCGGCCTCCTCGGCCCGTCCCCGCCCCGCCCCCAGCCCCACTCCCCCGGCGCCAGCCCGGTCCTCAGACACCCCAGCGGGAACGCGCCCGGAGGCCTATTGTCAGCGTCCTCCCCGCCACCGTCGGCGCCGGCGCCTGGCTGCGAACAAAGTTGAGAAAACGCAACGCTAGGACCCGCCGACCCCGCACCCAAGGCGGGCGCCGAGCGGCAGGACTTGGGGCGCCTACCTGCGGCTACCGGCGGGAGCCAGGGAAGCCGCGCTGCCCCGCGCAGGCGGCCCCGGGTCCAGGGCGCTGCGGCCACTCGGGCTCTGGGCGTCGCGGCGGCGCAACGTCCGGCAACACGGCCTCTGGCGCCTTCCGCGCCCCGCCCCCGGCATAGGCCACGCCCCAATCCCGGCACCACGGAGAAGAGGGGCCTCCTCGGCGCCTAGAGGGACCCTGAGCCGCCGCCCGGGCCGCGGCAGGACGGCGGGAAAGGCCCCTGTCCCGCTTCCATCGTACTCACCCAGCCCCGCTCTCTGTTACCCTGGACGCTTTCCTCACCCCTCCCTACTCATGAAGGCAGGAATCCTTTTCTCTCCAGCATGGTGGTTCTCCAGTGTCTCCCCAAACCAATGGCTGCTCCATCTGGGAACCTACTAGAAATGCAAATCCTTCGGGAACCACCCCAAATATACTGAGCACAAGCACAAGCAGTTTGTGCCACATTAGCTCTTAAGGTGATTATAATGCAACTGAGCGAAAAAACACTGCTCAGTGATTAGGTTTCTCAATCTTAACATGCTAAACATTTTTGCTGGGATAACTTTTTGTAGGGTTCCTAGCTTGTGTATTTTGGGAAGGGTTGCTGGATAATTTACAGGACGCCCACTAAAATTGTAATTTTGTTACAGCCCCAAAAGAGTGGGTTCTTTGCCATTTAGGGAAAGAATTTACCAAAGAACACCAATTATGTTTAAACCAGGCAGGACTTTATTAGAGAGACTCATGCATGAAAGGACCAGTTGGGAAAGGAGAATGTAGCCTGGCTCCCTGAAAGGAGTTAGGAGGACATATTTAAAGTGTAGGTCCACTAGGTGAGGAGGAAGAGGAGTGCATCAAAACTTGTCCTGGGTTGTGCTACAATGGAGGGAGCATGTGCAGGAGGACTATATTGTGCATGCAGGCTCTCAGCTCTCCCTCCAGGAAGCCATTAGTCAGGATCTAACATTTGTCTGTCCTAGCACTTCATGGTTAGTTGGTGGGCCAAAATGTTTAGACAGGACTAGCCAGTTCATGATATACTGTACCTATTCAAATTGGATTTGGGACAACACATCTTACCAGCTCATAGTTTCATTCATTTAGGCTGTCTCAATCTAACTTTCAAATTTATTTGAAATGTATTTCATTTGTATTTCTTTTTTTTTTTTTTTTTTTTTTTATAGAGGCATGTTTTTATTTATTTATTTATTATATTTGTTTGTCTTGTTTATACATGCACTGGGCACAGTCAGAAGCGCGGGAGGGTGAGAGAATTCACCAGAGCCAGAGCGGGGAGCAGAGCAGGCAGAAGGGCTGAAGTACACTGCTGAGGGGAGCAGCGGGTGGCAGGAGAGGTCTGCGCACCATGTGGGATCCTCCTCCGGTGGCCGGGGAGCAGCCGGGGATCGAACCGGCGCCGCAGAGGCCGCGGGCAGCTTCGCAACCCAGCGCTCAACCGCTGCGCCACCGGGGAGGCCCTCATTTGTATTTCATGTATTTCATTTGGCAACCCACCTGAAACCAAAACCCCACAGCACAAGCTGTTGGGCAACACTGCCGCCTGTGAGCAGGAGCCATTAGGGTAGAAGTGGCAGTTTCCCACCTTTTGCCAGGGTTGCTACCTGCCCCCCCCCCGCCCCCAGCCATGTTTGAGTCCAGATCCCCTAAGGCTCCTGAGCAGAAGTTTCCCACTGGCCACCCACACCACTGCTTCTGGGTAGCACACAGGCATCCTGCAGACTTTAGGACAGCTACATGGAAGCCCATTTCAGTGGGCCGGGATTGATGGCCAGCCAACGCTAAACAGGTTTGAGTGCCAGAGTATAAGTTGCTTGTGGGCGGTGCGAGTGGCAGCCTTTGGCAGGCATTTTACCGCCTGCTACCAATGGCCCCACTGGGGCTCAGGCTACCACCAAAGGCCAGCGATGCAGGCAGCAGTAGCTCATCTACTAGGCAGGGCATGCTGTCCCACTGGGGCTGCAGTGGCAAGCTTGCTCTGGCATAGGCAGCAGCAACTAGCTTGGAGACCCTGGTTCAGGGCTCCAGGGAGGAGCATGGGGCTACATTTAACCATGTGCTGGCAGTAGAGAAGTCTGTGGAATCCTGGGCCAACATGGTGGGCTCCCAATGGTGCCCACCCTGCAGCAGCTGGGACCTATGTCCTGCACTACTATAGCCCCCTGCCCCTCATGGTTATATTCAGTCCCACTGAAGTCGAGTACAAGGTGCAGAGCGCCTCTGTGCTCATTGAGGCCAGCTCTGGCTGGGGTCCTTGGAACCCACTAGCCTGCCTTGAGGTCAGGGAAGGTTGGGTCTGTGCAGGCATCAAGTTTTTCTTTTTATATTTGGCACCTGGATCATAGAATGAACCAATCGATTTAAATTAGCTCATTAGTTAATTATTTGGATTCAAAAATCAAAAATGAAGAATGGACTGATTGATCCTAAATAGTTCAACTGGTCACTTAGGATTAAAAATTGTCCAATTGGGTTTCAGGGGTGGGCGTCCCTGAAAGAGGATATAAGTCAGGGCAGAAGCCAGCTAGGAACTCTGTTCCTGGCCTCCAAAAAAAGATGGATCAGCAGCTGACATCCAAAGAAAGAACAAACATCCAGCAGCTGACCTCTGAAGAAAGAAGAAGCTGAAGACCTTTGCAGAGACCTGGCCGCAGCACCTGCCTCTGGCCCTCCCTCTGACATCACCAAAAAGGAATATCAAAGGCCCTGAGCCTGGTGTCTCAAAGGGTTGTTTATTGTGGTTATAAGCCAACAACTCACAAAGAGCTGTTTAACACTATTGTCTCTGACACTGCCTTCTGGTGACTTGTGGTCAGTAGTACTTCTGGACAGTGCTATCCAGCACTGATGGGTTACCAGCACTCTGTCTGAGTCAGAGTTGTTAACACTGGTTTCTCTGACACTGCCTCCTGGAGACCAGAAGCAACTGGCACTATAGCCGTAGTAGACAGCTGAACAGCACTATCCAGCATAGTTGACACTGACCAACACTCTGTGTCTGGCTCACCTCTGAGTACTGTCCACCACTTCTGATCATCCAGCACTACCTCCCAATGCTGTTGCCTCCTTTTCTGTCCAGTCCAGTGTCCAATGTTCTCTAGTCCACCCTTCAGACTATTACTGTGGGCCGCTGCAGTGTCATCTCAGTGGCCCTGCTTGTGAGCACCTCCAGCTGCCACCATGAGTTGTATCCTGGGCTACTGGTTGCTGGTGTGACACGAGCTCTAGGCCCTCATTGACAGGAAGGCGCCATCTTGAATGAGCGGCCTTTTATTTGGGAATTCTGGACATTGTGGACAATATCTAGGGTGAGATAGCCAGCCACTTATGACCTTTGAAAGTCTGTTTCCCATTTGTTAAATAATCCCCATTGTTCCCTGAGCCTGAGTGGCCTTGCAATTGTGCAAGAACTGGTAAGAACCCATAGACAGCGTCTTAGCATTGTTTCAGACCCACTTACATTTTTATCTAGTCAGTGCTCACTATGCCCAACCACTGTTCTGCACAATGCATTTAGAAAATTCAAGGGGACATGGACACACACACACACACATACCTCTTGGCTTCATGGTGCCTACATTCCAGTGAGAAAAATAGACAATAAACAAGTAAAATACATGGCATGTGAAAGAGGAAAGTGCTACCAGAAATATAACAAAGCTTGGAAGATGGGTAGTGAATCCAGTTTTAAATGGTGTGGTCAGGGAAGGTCTCACTGTGAAAACTAAATTTGAGAAAAGTAAAAATACAAAGATAAAAACGTGCAGAATTCAGGGGGAAGGGTAGAAGACAACAGGCAAGGGAGAATGGCACATTCAAAGATTCTGAGGTGAAAAGGAGGTGAAAGATTCTGGGGAACAGCATGAGGAATGCTGAGTTAATGAGGAAAAGCAAAGAAATGAAGTCTGAGAGGTGATAATGTGCCAGGTATGTGTGGCCTTGTAAATCTCCACAGGCCTTGGCCTTCTCCCAGGGTTTTGATTAGAGAAGGAATATGATCTGATGTTGCTTTTACAAATACATGCTGGGCTAAAGCAGAAGCAATGAGTCGGACAGGAGCTGCAGTGGTTCAGACCAGATATGACAGTGACAGGATGCTCATGGTGGACACAGAGAGAAGGATTCTGGATATATTTGAAAGTAAAATACAAGCAGATTTGCTCATAGATTAAATAGAGAATGACAGAAAGAACTCAAGAGTGATGGTTTGGGACTTTACAAGTTATCAACAACACTGTTATCAACTGAGACGGAAAAGACAGCAGTAGGAGCAGGTTTAAAAGGAAGTAAGAAGTTTGGTGTTAGGCATATTAGACATGTGCTAGAATCCTCATCTTTTTAGAACAAGGTGTAGGTTCAGGAACAGGACACAGTGCAGGTTTTCTGATCCCATGCAGACTGGGTAAAGGAGGAGTCAGAGTCCTCAGTGGTTTTCAGCAGGTTTTTTATTGGGATTACCAGGTACACGGCAGGCAGGGGTGCTGGGGGACCGGGAGGCTGGCAGGCCTCCCAGCCCCCAGCAAGTCTTCACTCTATCTGGGTTCTCCGGCATTCTCTCTGCTTCTGCTTCTCTTGCTTCTCTCTCGCCTTCTCTTTCAGCTTCTGCTGCTTCTATTAGCATCCCCGTGATGCCGCCCTTAAAAAGCACAGTCTTAGTGCAGGTGTACCACTTCAGGTGCCCACCATCAGGCATGCGTTCAGGATCACAGGGTTCCCTCATCTATGCTGATGGCGGGAGGGCAGAAAAGCCTGATATTTTTCCTTACCCTATACAAGCCTTAGAAAAGTAGTGGAAGTGACTGTAACAAATTCTGGCTTGTCATTTCTAAATTGGTTAACACCTATTTAACTCATATCCATCTTTATGCTATTTACTATTGAATAGATAGTATCCCCATCTAAGCTATTTTCTCCTGAATTACAGTGGTCTTGATAAACCTGAGTTCTTGCTTGGAAAATAGATTGTTCTGCTCAAAATTTAAGGTTCCTCAGTCCCATATAAATATTTACAACCCCTAGCCAAT